ATCACAATAACGATCACAATTATCATTGGATAAAATTGTTAAATGATGAACATCATCAGAATTTAGATTTAATTTATGTGATATTATACATAAACATTGATTGTTATCATCGTTGAAAGCTAGAAAGAAATTTGAGATTTAGCTATTGAATAACTTTTCTTGACATCTCTATACAGATTATAATTTAGAATACAATAAAATTTTTGATTATCTATAAGGATTGAATATTCTTGCCATCCTCTCGAATACAACGTTAAAGAAAGATTATTACTAAATACAAGATTTGATCATTTCTTCTTTCTCTGTTCAAATCGAATAAGTGAGGAAAAACATCTTCATGAAATTAATCAATATTACGCGATTTTTTTTCAGTGGTAGATTTTTCTTAGACAAATAGTCTCAAAAGAATATTGTTCAATTCTGAGAATAGCCTATTAGTTAAGCAGTATTAACGTTTATTAATTATGACAAACATATCAGATGTTCATCATCGATCTAATGATTTGACGACCCAAACAAGGTAACTTTCGTTATTCAAAAGTTATTTCAGATGTTGAAGTCGGCATATAAATCGAAAAACATTGCAACTGTATACAGTATTCTCAATTTAAGAAAATAAAGCATAATAAAACTATGATAAGAAAAAAGCCCTAATTCAATCGAGCATAAAAGAGTCAACATAGTGAAATGAATAATATAACTATTATAATTGTTCATCATTTCTACAATTGATACTTACGTGGAATAGACACTATATATTATTATATAAGAGAACTCTACAGAAGAAAGTATATTTAAAACAAAAAACATATTCATAAACTCAAAAATAACTAAATAGAAATTAATTAATGACATATTTATTTTACCTATAGATTTGGTTGTAGCATTTTGATCAAGACATGTAGCTGCACAACGTTCTAATTTCGTCAATTGGGTTTCAACATATAATTCATTAATTTTCACTTGCAATGTATCATAATAACCAGAAGTATTCCATAATTCACATGATTTAAATTGAATTCGAAAATTAAATAAATGAGCATATTGAATGTAATACTTTTCTTCAGCATAAACTGAATATGTTTCTTTGCCTCCACATGTATTAATTGTTAAAACTCGATTATTATTTGATCTTTTGCACGAGGTCTGACAAAGCTTATCACTTACTCGATTATGATCCGTAAGACCAATACCTGAACATCGACAAATGGTACCTTGTAGATAAACAATTGGTGTTTCACATAAAATAAAACATAATGTTGGTTCCATGTATGAACTCATGAAATAATCATTATAGAATACTTTTCTATAGCAACCAACATAATGATATGTACTATAGACTGAATAAATCATAGAAAATATCATCAATATGAAAATTATTCTCGATTTCAACATTATATGCTGGAATAAATAAATAATGAATGAGACAATAGTATTTAAAATATCTGCAAAATATTAAACAAAAAAATATAACTAAATAATAGGAAAGCAAAAAAAAGCGAAGAGAATAATAATCATTTTGCTTCGTATTATTGATATCTGATGATACATATTCGAAGTATTATATCTTTTAATGAAGACCGCCAATTTCAACAAACTCTTGTTCATTTTTTTTTTGACATTTTCATACTCTATTATTTTGTAAACAAAGATAAAACATGTCATAGATGAATATAGGTAAGATACTATTTTAAATATTTACTGTCTATTAGAGTCTGACGTTAAGATTTTCTTTTAATCTTAACCGTTATAAAAATATCCACACGCACACAACTAACTGTAACATATCTACTATCTGACTTTAGAAGAAAAAAAAAGTATATTAGAATTCTAGGTGAAAACACTAAATATGTCGGAGAAACAGATAACACGAAAATATTCAGAGTTCGTTTCGTCCATTACAATCGATGTAACGACGAACTGGATTGCGGGTTGCTGACTGCTACTCGACACTGACATTTATTAGCTACTTCACATATTCAGAGTATCTCTACTTTACATTGAACACGTATATATATATAAGAGAAATAGAGAGAGAGAGAGGGAGAAACAATAAGAGATAAAGGGCAAAGGAAAAATAACGGAGGCGAATACAAAAAACAACGACAGAGAGAAAATATATAGGAAAGAGAACAATGATCAATGAAGGGTAACGCAGATATTGACAGTCAGGTCATACAACGAGATACAGCACGGCTATCTGATTGCGAGACCGAATCACATAGACAAATTAAATATCATTATGGGCGAATCGAATCAACTTTTTTCTTACCCATTAAATAGAGTACTGACCTTTTTTTTTCCCTCGTGAACGTTATGGACGAGTTCATATGAACTGATATAAAGAACAACGGTTAATAAGAAGGTTGGCCGTCATAATGTCGAAAGGAAAAATGTCGAAAGGAGAAATGTCGAAAGAATGAAGTGGAAAAATGTCGAAAAAATAATATTGACATGAAACATTGTCGGTTAATATTTTAGAGAATTGTAAATAATGTAGTGCATGTTTTATTGCATAAAATTAAGTTGAAATCTTAACAGTGAGAAAAATATTAAAAAAAATTAAAAATTAAAATGTTATTTTTTCCGTTTAGCAACTACAAATGATAAACCATCTAAATATTCCATAGCATTTATTGCTCCATCATAATATCTTTCTCCAAGTTTATCTATACGACGTTGAATAGCAATAGTTTTAGCTTGTTTTGATCGTGTTCCTAAGCCGGCCATGAATTGAACATACATATGATGAAAACGGTTTTCTTCTCCTTGAAGAAGCTTAATAAATGACCATATATTTGGATGGTTAATTTGTACTCGACGATTGAAGCGACTATGAAATGCTAAATGAAGCATAAAAAGATAAATTTCTGAGTTAAATACAAGAAAAAGATCACCTTCAGCATTATTATTGGTTCTGATGTTGAGACCATGTACACACCATTGAGAAATAGGAACTTTGCTAAGCCATTGTTTCTGAAAATATTGTAATAAATCCTTTAATGTGCCCTTTAATGTTGATGGCATTGTAGCGATTAATTCATCATAAGTATCTTCGATAATCGCTTCTGGTATTAAAGGAAGCGCCATTAATTTTCGACAAAATTTTTTAATATCATCATCATTATTATATGTTGTTGATAAGCCAACTCGTTGTATTGCTCGATAAATAGCTTGAGTGAAATGAAAATAACAAGATAAATGTGTTGCTGTAATAAACTATAAAAGAAAAGAAAAATCTGAAATGTATTTTCAATGCATACAAAATACTTACTTCGAGTGCAACTACAGCTAATAGACTTGGTTCAAAATCACTCATGATTAATTTTGGTGAAAAATTAATATCCATTTGTACAGCTAGTGCTTTCAACTCACGAAACATGAAGTGATATGTACTTTTCTGTCGATTTGGTAATAAGCCAAAAACACAAGGAAAGGCTAAAAAAAATTAGACACACTTATATAGTCAAGGTCTTTTCTGTCTACTCACATTGATCATATTTTATCGCATGAATTGTATAAACTTGATCAAACATGCTTGGACATGTTGAAAACGTGCCATCCATGAATATTGTTTCAGCAGCGAAAAGCATTTTAAGTTGTTCACTTGTTGAAAATAAAAGTATTCGTTGGCGTCTTGTTATCTTCTTGTCAGTAATTAAAAACTCGTTCTTGTTCAAAGTTTTCGAATAAGACTCAGGAATATCAAATAATTGAGTCATTGGAATTATAGGTGTAATAGCACGACGTGCTTTATTAATTCCACTGTCTTAAAATTATAAAGAAAAATGATTGATAGAAATTAAATATAATAGAACAAAATTTTCTTACTCATTTCACGTTCACTTGGTAAGATAGCTATTGCAGTATTTGATAACATAGCTTTTGCACATTCTTCATCGTATATACGTGGAATAGGTGTTGTTTCATTTTTAGCTCGTTGTTTTATTTTTTCACGAACTTCACGAACCTCAAGTTTTTCTTTTTCTGGAAGATGACTATGATTGCCAACAGTTTTCATCAATCGATTATTTGAATCAGTATGCACTTTAGCTGCGCAACCATTAATAATGCATATCCAATATTTAGTAGTTGTTGTTGCTTTATTCAATTTAAAAGTATAATCATCGACAACTAGTAGAGGTTTTCCTTTATTTGAATTTATAAATGAAATAGCAGGAGATTTTGCTTGAATTTCACCAGTTAAAGTTACGAAAGCTTCAGCCATGACAGTACAATTTTAGTTATATAATAATTCTTTGTTCAACTCTTTCATTTTACTTGTATTAATAGTTAATCATCCCTATCAATACAGGCTAAAATTCTACACTAGTAAAATTATAAGAAAAAACAATGAACTAAATGGGATTAGAATCGCCATATACTGGAGACATCATTATTTTTTATTTTTCACTTTCGACATTTTTCCACTTTAATATGTACGTTTCGACATTTTTCCTTTCGATGTTTTTTCTTCGCTTTTTCTTTTTTCGGCATTTTTCCAGCACATCGAAACAATAGTGTTCATTATTTATTGTTTCAATGTGATGCGATTCTATTGGATAGTAAGAGATGTAAGAAAAGAGGGCGGTCAAATTCAATTGATTGAATAATCAATATCAACATTATGATTGTAAATAACCCAACTATGTCGACATTAAATGCAATTCTTATCAATAGGTTGAATCTTTCTTAGAATGTTTTTTTTTAAACATCAGGCGAAAAGAAATTTTCAATATATTCAAAGGAAAAAAACATTGTATTGTGATAATAATTATACAAAATATCAAATCAATGTTTCACGATATAGAAAAGTTTCAAAATATAAATAGATAAGAAATAATGATAAGATCCAAACATAAAATCTTAATCAAATAAATCAATATATGTTAAAAAACAATTTATATTTATCATTGAATAGATTGTTGATTTTGGTCTAGCACGTGTTGCTGCAACAAATGATCTACAAACAGGTTATGTTGCAACAAGATAAGAAATAATATTATTATTTTTTAATGTAAAATTAATAAATAAAAATATTAGATGGTGACGTGCACCTGAAGTATTTATTAAATTGGGAAGGTTATGATGAAAAAGTCGATATATGGTCTATTGGTTATATAATGGCTGAATTAATTCTTCTTAAACCACTTTTTACTAGAACAGATCATATTGACCAATTAAAGAAAAATATTTGATGTTGTTAGTACACCAGATTTAGCTACATTAGATGAAGTTTGTGAACCATGTATGTTACTGATTTTTTTTGTTGTTTTGTTTGTTAAATGTTTAATTTATAAATAGATGCAAAATATTATATTCATAAATTACCCCCAAGACAAAAACAAAATTATAAAAAATTAGTTGGTTATAAATATGAAACTGGATCTCGAACACTAGTATATGGTGTATCACTACAAGGTATTGCATTACTTGATCAACTTTTATCATTTGATCATCGTACACGACTAACAGCAGAAGAAGCTTTAGGCAAGAATATTTATATCAAAGCATTTTATATTAATAATAAATGAATAACTTATAGCTGCATCCATATTTTGAACATTTACATAATCCTATGGAAGAACCATCAGGAGAAGTTTTAGTTGATGAACATCAAGATGCAACTTATCCAATAGTTGGATGAAAATGTAAGTTTATAAAATTTTCAATAATTTTTTCCTTAAACTCAAAGGCCAACATATCGTTTTACATGATATGATTTGAGCAACAAATGAAGGATAAATAAATATACATCGAATATTATTTTGTTCTGATAGAATTTAAATATTCTATTCGATACCAATCATTCGAACAATTTTGTTTTAGTTTTCCTTTTTTTTCAATAAACAAATAATTTTGAATTTAAATTATTTTGAATACAAAAAAAGGATACATTAAAATCTAGTGAATACCATTCCTCTGTTTATACTTCTATGTATTTAACAGTTATCAATTGTTCATATAAAAATAAACATTTTATTTTACATTAATTTTTATATTTATTTTTGTCTAGCTGTCTTATGGAAAATGATCGAAGATTTTCAACCATTACCATGGGCTAGTGAAGATATTGATGATGATATTTAAATAAAAGCAAAAAACAAAAAAGAAACATTAAATTGAAATTAGTATAGGCCTATTTTTTCTTGTGTTGATATTATTATTGTGTTTCTTTTTATATCGACATGGTCTCGTTTGTTTGTTTAATTTTCTTTTTTTTGTGTTCCTTTGACTCTTTCTTTTTTTTTTGTGAATAGGTTGTGCAATTTGTGAAGTTGAGATGATAAGAGGAAAATATTTTATTATTCTTGATCATAACGAGACAATTTATCATTTTCATATATGTTTGTTTTTTCTTTATATTATGTATATTCAACGCAAAACAATACATCAATATTAATGAGATGTTTCCTGATATTTAAAAACTAATAGATTTTATCACATGAAGATAAATAAAAAGTTCTGTTTATAAAAAGTAACGAATGGTGCAAAAGTTCTTCATCAATTTTCTATTCAGTATAGCATAGCAACTAATCGTTATAAAGACTTGATCTTTTTCTCATTGGAAAGAGCTGAGTGACTAGTAGAAAACCATGTAAAAAAAAAAGTGTTTGATTCAAAGTATTTACCAAAAGCTAAAAAGCCTTAAGAACACGTCGGACTGGAAAAATGCTTTTCAACTTGTGGAATTCAGAAGAAAATTCATCTACAAAGAAAGTTGATCTTTTCTTCTGACTTTTATCGGGTTTTGTAGCACTATGATCGAGCATTGCAAACACACAAAAATAAGACTTTCAAATGACCGGTAGAGTTCGAAATCAACATTTTTCTAACATCTTTTGTTAGTGAAAATTTTTCACAAGGCAATGAATAAGATTTCTTTCAACATCGAAGTTAGCACAAACTGCCTATTTTATATGCAATTAAAGCTTATTGAGTTGTCTTTAAAAGCACATTCAGTTTCTTTGTTAGACGACCTTCATTGAACGTTGTAGACAGAAAATCAACTTTTTAATTTATTTTAGACTGCAATCTTTGGGTAAATTTATACCGTAGATATATTTAAATATTATACTTGCTACATTGAAATTTATTTAACTTTTTGAGCTTTGATATATAAGCGATAATTTTTAGTCAGCATTACTTAAAATTGTAATTATATTCAATAAATGATTATCAAAATAAGGTAATAAAACTAACACAGTATTTCATAAAGACAAGGATGATTAGTTTTTTAATTGAATACAAAAAATCACACAAATAATGCTCGATCATACTTAAATGGACTTGTCTTTTCCAGATGAAAGTTAAATAAGAGAGACAATTTCAAAGCGTCCCGCACCACTATTATCCTTACAACTGTTTTCGGCGAGGCAGGTTGTCTTCGCACACCTTTAAATCATATAATTTTTTGTTGGATTGTATATATGCAAGGCAATTTTTAATAAATGCAATGTATAAATAGATTAATCAAACGGTAATACTAAATTATTTAGTTGCAATAGGTTTTTTTTTCTGTACAAATATAGTTCTCTACGTGTGACACATGGGGAAATGAGTGTTAAAATATTCCATAGATAAGTTAATTATATCATGACAGAAAAGTAAATTAATGAAAAAGAACTTTTCCTCACATCATTATTAGTCTCCAGCTTCCTTCAGCAACATCGATGTAACATGCAAATGATATGACAAGGTACTCAGAAATACTTTCGACTTTTAGAACGTGTTGTGCACAAAGAATAATGTTCATTATCATGAAACCTTGACTGTCATCTTCAGCTCTATAGAAGAAAAGTCGACTAACGAGGAAACTACCATAACAGTAATTCACCGCTTGAACTCATATCGGACTGATAGAGAAGTCTTGGTACGGCTAGAAAAATTGTAAAGGAGTTGCGTGGCCATAAGTCTCTGGAATCGTGTTGTGACCATTTTATTGAATTTTCGATATCATTTTTACATATAAACTGGAAATTAAATGATTGAATTTCGATCTGAAATTCAGCCTATAGATAACAGTATGAGTGTTCATTACTATTTATTTTTGTCAAGAAAGAATTTGATTTTCTGAATAGAAAATGTGTCTTGAGTGTTCGCATAGAGGAGAATGGCCCTTTTTTTTTGAGAATCTAAATGAATAATTCTCATATGTAAGTTAATCAAGATACGCATGATTATGTCTTAAATAAAGATCTTTACGAAATTTTCCTACATCGAATTTTAAACAACCACTGGATAATCTTATGAAAATGAATATTATAACGATTATCCTCAAGCAAATTTTATGATTCTGGAATTTACAGTTTTTCACATTGTCGAACATTCTTATAAATCTTTCTTTCGGTAACGACTGATCTCAGTAGTGTTTTTTAATAATAAACATTTTAATAATTATTGAACAATCGTTATCGATAATGTATGACTATTGGAGAATAATTAGATGATTTGACTTGTTTATAAACTTTTTACGCATTATATTTTTTCGTGTTCATTTATTTAAATTATTTTCTACACCATCAATATTAAATTTATATTTGATTAAAAAAATACTTAAATATAAACCACTTTTATTTTGTAAAAATTAAAAAATGTAATTTACTGATCTTCGTTTTTCTTTACACTTGCTTATAATTAGAGTCTTTATTTAGTCATGACTCTAGTGAAGATAAATATTAGCATTGAGATATGTCAAGACCACATCACTATCTATCATATCAGTAACACTTTCATATCTGACAAAAAGGTTTAATTAAATGTTCCCGATAGAGATATTCATTGCGACTGAAAACTTATTGCTGCAACATCACGATGATAAAACATTCATTCACTTTTGATGCTTCTTCTAATGAATTGTTCTTGCATCAATAGACAAGAAAAAGTTCGCGCCCCTCGATGATATTAAACAAGAAAGTAATTCAAATTTCATTGCTGTCACTGTATTGAACTAGAATTGTTCTTACTAATTCATGCAATTTGCTGTGTCCTTCAAAAAGAAGCTGCCATGATAACCATAGTTGGAATTGGTATCGATTACGGCTAATACCAGAGTGTGTTTTAGATTTGCAGATCGATTGTTATCGGTGTATCTTTTTCTCTTAAAATATCATAGAGGATGTGGAATGAAATTTTGTTGAATGTTGACTATGTTAAATATCACTATCTACATATGGAATCCTATGATAACTGGCCAATACAGTGTCGGTATGGATTTTAGACCGATACTGGACATGAAAAATTCACATCGGGGCCCATATCTGGTTGACATCTCAAAAATCTTTTCTATAATTATTTATCCAAATTATTCAGTGGTGACTCTGTAAAATGTCTCGTTTTGTTCTAAATTGAATTTTTATGTTTTAATTAATTTTTTTCATTTGAGATGGTCATCTTAAAATGAATAAATTAGTTAAAACTTAACATTTATGTTTCTCCTTCTTATTTTTCTCTTTATCGATAAAAATCAACACAAAATTAAGAAACGAATAGATACCAACACTTACAAACACACACACAATAGAGAAAAGAAGAAAAAAGAAAAAGGAGAAATTTATTTATACAGATAAGCCAAAGTATATGAAGTTGAAGAAACGAAAAGAAAGAGTTAGTGTTATGGAATGAAGGAAAAAATAAATAAAAGCTTTTATCATTGCCAATATAGACATAGAAGTTTTTTTTTTTAAAATGCGATGACTAATTTGTATTTATGAATGACTGTTCGATTTAGAATGTTGAATAAGCCATTGAAGTGTTATATCTAAAGTATTAAAAAAAAAATAAAATAAATAAAAGTATTTTTATCTTTTTTGTTTACCGATATTCTCCTTTTCTTTGCATGATATAGAATAGCAACAAATTTCTCGATCTTTTATTGGAGAAAGATCCCTAAAAAGAAAAAAAAATTTTAATCAAAGAATTTCTTTTGTTTTCTTTTTTTTTTATGTATTGATTTAATTACAATCTTTGAATAATTTCTTGTACTTCAAGTGCATTTGGTAAATCACGTTTATTACCAAGAACAAGTACGGGAATACCTTGAAGTTGAGGTTTTTCTAATAAATTACTAAATTCTTGTTTGGCTGCATCAAGTTTTTCATGATCTGCTGCATCAACCATAAAACTATTTGAAAGAAAAAAAATCAATAAAAATTTGAATATCATATAATGTATTTATACGTACACTATAGCATGTACACCACGACAATAACGTTCCCACATACTACGAAAACGAGGTTGGCCACCTATGATATTCAAAAAAGCGAAAATACAAGAAAAAAACAACTTCAATGCGTACCAATATCCCAAATCTAAAAATAAGCGAAAAAAAAAAGAATGACGAAACAAAAAAAGAATAAATCTTACTTTAATTGTTACATTTCCTTTTGTAATTTTTCTCATATTAAAACCTACAGTTGGTATCATATCTTCGGAATATTGACCTGATGCAATTAAATTAACAAATGTTGTTTTGCCAGAATTTTGTAAACCAACAAGTGTTAATTCCATTTCTTCTTTCCAAAATAAACTTTTG